TGCCGCGAAATGATTCTCTCTTTCCTGTAATAAATGACCTGTAATTCCACATTGTTTACATGGTATTCTTGAAACTGCATCTGCGTTTGTATGTAATCTTCCGGGTCTATGCTCAATTTTCATATCGTAAGCTGATAGAATTTCAATCCATCTAGCAACTTGACCTTCTGGGCTTTTAAAATTCATGAGCCATCTTAAAGATCCGTGATCCGTTCTGACTAAAAATTTCTTTCCATACAAATAATGCCTGAAATATTTCACAAAATGTACCAAAGCTAATAATTCCTTACGGGTAACACAATATTTCCGTTCAGACTTGGTTAATGTGCGACTAGCATAGGCAATAACATGTTCCTTGTCATCAATATTTTGAGACAAAATAGCTCCTATAGATTCATGACAAGCGTCACAATCAAGAATAAACGGTTTTGAAAAATCTGGATGAGAAAGTACTGGAGATTCAACTAATTTTTGTTTTAATATTTTAAATGCTTCTTCACAATCTTGTGTCCATATAAATTTTCTATTTTTATCCACTAAAACGATAAAGCGGCTGTGATATAGCAGGTAAATTCTCAATAAACTTCCGATAATAGCTACAAAGCCCTAAGAAAGATCGCACTTCTTTTGTACTAGTAGGTGACGTCCATTTCCGAATACATTCTGTTTTCTTAGGATCGGTCTCAATCCCTTTTTCAGACACTTTTATGTCCTAAAAATTCTACTTTCTTAGCAAATAAACAGCATTTCTTTGCTTTAAGTTTTAATCCAGCTGTTGACAAACGTTGAAAAACTGTATCTTAATTATTCAGCATATCATCAAAATCTTTGCCCATAACGATTATATCATCAAGATAAATTAAACAAATTTGCCAATGAAGTCCTGATAAAACTGTTTCCATAAGGCGTTCAAATGTTGCCGGCGCATTGCACAAACCGAACGGCATTACTTGAAATTCAAATAAACCTTGTCTTGTCTGAAAAGCGGTCTTAATTTTGTCTGATGGGTCAACTTCAACCTGCCAATAACCTGATGACAAATCTAAACACGTAAACCATTTGCTTCCTGATAATTGATCTAGTGACTCGTAAACACGTGGAATGGATAAGCGTCTTTGATTGTTACATTATTAAGTTTGCGATAATCAATGCAAAATCGCTGAGTTCCGTCTTTCTTTCGAACAAGAACTACTCCGCTAGACCAAGGGCTTGTTGATGGCTGTATAACATTTTTATCCAACATTTCTTGAACTTGTGTATTTACTTCCTTATTCATGTGTTCTGGCAAACGTCTTATCGGCTGTTTTATGGGTCTTGCATCACCGGTAGGTATCTGATGCTTAATAATACCGTACGACCAAGATCAGAATCATTTACAGAAAATATTGAAGAATATTTCATTAGAAGCTTTTTGACTTGTTTACTTTGATTTTTATCTAAATCAACTATAGCTCGCTCATAAAGATCCGTCAAATGACCTGGAAGCTGTGTTTCAGATCTATTTTTGATCACTGGTGTACTTATACTATCAACAGGGCTCATCAATGCAATGTTTGTTCCCGGATACAGTACTTGATTATCATCGGATATATTCATCAATCTGACGGGAACTTTCTCATTTCCTTGAACTACTGCTCGTGCTATCAAACCATTATTGTCTAATAAGGGACGTTTACTTTGTTCTATCATGAATAAACCTTTATTGGAAAACTCTTTTTCTTGAACTTTACCTTGTATTAAAACTTCACTTCTAGCTGGGACAAAAACTCTATCTGTACATATTATTCTATAACATCCGACTGGCCCTTGACATTTCAATTTACATGACTTACCTCTGACAGATATAGTGCTGGATGCTACATTTATGATCATGTTTTGTGATTGCATAAAGTCAATACCTAAAATGATATCAGTCTCTATTGAAGAAACAACAACATCAAAGAGACTCTTTTGACCCTCAATTTCTATTGATACATTAGCTTTTCCTTTTATTTGTAATGGTTCGCCAGATGCTGTAGCAATATTAAAGCTACATGTTTTCAATTCAAGTGGTATCGTAGACTCGCATATCATGTCATATAATTTTTCAGATATTATCGTAAGAGTTGCACCTGTGTCAATTAGACAAGAAACACTCACATCATTAACTTTTGCATCTATTATAAACCTGATCCATGCCTCGTTGAACTTTGTACGGACTGATGTGTCTCTTGCTGGATTTTAGAGTTTGTGTATTATTTGTTTCTGGTTGTTTAGGACAATTTCTTTGTATATGTCCGATATCTCCACATTTATAACAAGTAAATGGAAACCCTATTTCTATTTTCATAAATGTTATTAGATGAATGTTTATTTGCATGGTGTTTGAAATATTGGAAGATTGCATATTTTTACTTTGTTGCAATTTCTACTTTGTTCAGGTTTACTTTCAGAATATTGTGAATTTTGGGTCTGAAAATTTTTGAACATAGCTCTCATTTCTTCCATATGACTTTTTAAGTTGTTCTAACTCACGAGAAAGAAAAATTTTTGACCAGAAAATTGCCTTTGTTGGAAATGTTTGAGTAAAAATTGGTTTTACTGGAGTGTTATTTGTTTGAAATTTCGACCTATTTCTATCATTTTGTACGTTATTATTATCCCTGTTCACCGATCTTTGTAAAACCTTGTCTATCTAAATCGCTTTCTTTCAGTTGTATTAAAAGCTTCAAGCTCTCAACAGCATGCCTGATAGCATCATTTAAATTTGTAGGTCTGGTCATCTTAACTCGAAGTCTCATGTCAGAATTTATTCAAAAGAATCTATAAACTGCTCTTTAGCTAAGGCTTCTTTGACTTCTGTCGGGGCTGATGGGTAAGCTAAATTTGTTAACCTTCTGAAATGTCCTGACCCATCTGTGATAAAGTTTCTGAGGCTCTCTGTCTCCTATCTCTAAGTTGTGCCCTATATAATTCTGTTTGATTTCTGGGTGAAAAACGTTCTTCTAACGCTGAAACTAATTCACTGTAACTTGGTGGTTTTGTTATTTAAATTCCCAAAAACACCCCTGGGCATCGCCTCGAAGAGAAAACTGATAGGTAAAGTCCTTTCTGTTTATCTGTCCAATTATTTATTTCAGCACATGCATCAAAATGTGCTTTATAATCAATCCAGGAAATTGACCCGTCATATGTCGCTGGTTTCATCATAACATACTGTTTTTGATGATTTTGTATTTTGGTTTGACCAATGTGAATCTGATACATCATGTTTGTCAGTTTTAATATATGGTAGAGACTCGTCAACCTTCATATTTGTCTGATCTGACTGTTGTAAGTCCTGTTGTAAGTCAGTTAAACATAACGAATCTTGATCTTGAAATTGTATTTTCTTAGTCATATCTCTTCCTGGACTTTGTAAAAATGATGTCTTTCTGCAAGTATCATTTCTATGTCTATTATCTTTAAGTCCCATAGTCGGAGTCTGCGTACTCTGATGCATACTCTTGCGAGATTCATAAATGTGTGTGCCTTTTCCATTTACTGAGGCTATCACCTGTGAATAATCATGTGATTTTGGTTTTGTGTTTCCTGTCAGATTTTCAAACTGAGAGTCATATGCATCAGTAAAAAACTTTCTTGACTTAAAAACCCTGTCAGACACGTTTTCTCAAATTTTTCTTTAGGTGTAGAAGTTGCCATGTCATTCAATTTCTTTAAAAAATTCTGTAGAATTTAATGTGGACGGAGAAATATTTGTTTTCACATATATATTGATCTAATACTTGAATTTCCATTTGAAGTTTTAAACTTTTCTTTCTCTATTTCTAAAAATCTAAGTTTCCTTTTCAAACTCATCTCTCCATCATCGTCCCAAGGATTAGCCATTTTTGCAGTGTAAAAATAACAATAATTAATCTTGTTGACAAATATTATGTTCTTAAAAAAAATGCTACCTTTTACTGATTCGTCAGACTTCTGTATGACAAAACAAATAAAAAGATAAACGTGAGTAAGTGTTAGTGTTAACTATCTATCAGACCTTATTAAAATACTATGAACCTTAATTACGTATCTTTACAACTAGAAGATCTAATATATCCCACCGCTGCCACCAAAAATATCTGTAACGTGCACCGAGAAATTGCCTATATTTCAAATATCTTATTATCTATAAAAGTGTAATTAATATATATATATATAATTTTCCTCAGGACTACCTTGTCACTATGATTTGTAAGAAATGATCCGTAAATGATTTCACAAAAATATTAATTATATTTGAAATCAAGAGTATTTTTATAAACAGGTATTTTTATATTTAAATACTAAAACTTATCCGTCAGACGTCTTAAAACTATCAAATATTCTTCAGCTGTATTTTATCTCTCAGTTCCTTTCATATCAATAAATATCACGAAAACAGTAAACAATATTTATATTTATGCAACCCGGTTTTTCACTTAACTAACTGCTTAACTATTCCCTATGGGAAGGAAGCTCGTAGCAAGTTAATAACAACAAAATTACAAAAATAAAATATTAATTTACTTTAAACAAGTTCTCTAATCAACCTCAAATTCAACTCTCCCATTCTGCAATAAAACTCTGGTATATATACGCATAGACAAATCCATTTACAAAGGGTCAACAGGTTATCCCATTATTGATACTCATTCCCTTAAAAGCGTCTCGATCATATAAAAACGTTTTCCTTACGTTATTATTCAAATAATGAGCGTCTAATAAATTCTTTTATAAAATCTATAATAAATGTTTATACCTATCGACGGATGACAACATGTTTAAATTATTCACAATCTGATATTAAATAAAACTAGATCTGTAAGTATCAAACACTTTTACCTGATAAAATATAAAGCAAACTGTCGTTTGATAAATAAATTGCTGTATCAATGGCGATTATTCAACAAAGGGGAGTAACTATGTATAATCATTACATTATGATCCCAACAAGTGCTAGTTCAGAAACATTAATTTTTCTTTCTGTTATTTTACAGGTAGAGGAAGTAGAGGCCAACTCAAGCATGTCGGCGCTTGCCATCCTATCATGTCGACAAAACTCGCACCCCTTCCAGGAGCGTCACATTACGCTCCTGGAACCGATGAAGATAGGGAGGTCAGTAGCCCGTGCAAGACCAGCTCCAAACAATGGCATCTTTGATTGTAAGGTGCTCTCTCGCAACCATGCCATGCTATGGTACGAGAATGGAACTGTAAGTTAAACTTCATCATTTTGCTACTGTAGCCATATATGTAGATATTTATAATGATGACAGTATATGTAAGCCTGTCTTTATTTTTGAACAGTCTATTTTTCCAACACAGTTGGCATGTTTTTATCTCATCTGAGCTGGCCCAGGGTGACCTTTTTGATTGTTGAATATCTGTCGTCCGTTGTCTGTACACATTTAGTTCATTTACACTCTAGTCAATTGTCACCAAACTTGGTTCGTATTTTCCCCAGTAATTGCTCAGATGTGTTCAAACATGGGTCATATTGTATAAAAACTAGGTCACAGGAGCCAAAAATAGGAAAAGCTTGTTTACAGTCCAGTGGCTACTGTTTGAGTACAAATATCATTGAAATGTCAGATAGGTTGTTACTATGATTTCTAGCTCATCTATAAAAATGGATCACATGAGGTAAGTAACTAGGTCACACAGTCCAAATCTGGAAAAGCCTTGTTAACAGTAAAGGCTACTGTTTCGGTCCAAATATCCTTGGAAAAATTGTTTTCATGATTTCTAGCTCAAGATCTAATGCGAATCATCTTGTATCAAAAAGAAGGTCACAGAGTCCAAATATGGAAAAACATTGTAAGACCACTAGAGGTGACATTTTCAGCACTGATATCCTAAAAGTTGGTCAGAAAGATTGTTTTAGATGATTGGTAGCTCAAGACTGAGTATGGTTTGTCTTGGCTCAAAAACTAGGTCAAACAGCCCAAATTTAGAAAAAAAAACCTTTTTAAAACTCTTGAGGTAAGATTTTCATTTTAAATATAATGGAAATTTGTCAGAAAGGTGGCTTCAGTAATTTCTAGTAAAAGTTCAAGTATGGGTCATCTGGCGTCAATATGAGGAAATATGGAAAATTTTTGTTTACAAACATGTGTACTATTTCAGATGCAGATATGAACAATATCATATTAGATTTTTTTAAACATCTCTGCATTCATTCATAATATTGCTTGTCTTTAAGAGCCTTGATAATCAGGTGAGCGATATGAGGGCCATAATGGCTCTCTTGTGTAGTGTTCTTTACTGTTGTCTAGTCAAGTTTTAGTTAGAATTACCATATTATTGATTGAATGACAGATTTACTGAGACTTTCAACAATATTTAAGATGAAATTGAATTAGAGAAAAATTGTCAACATCCTTTCCCAATGAAGAGTTTCTTTATCATTCACTCTCAATGTGTTGTTACTGTAAATATAAGCTGGAACTTTGTGAACATAACAGAATTAATTAGTGCAATAATTACAATGTAGCAACAAGAGAAGGTGGCTGCCTCTTGATTAGAGATCTTGGTTTCTTGTAGGACATATTTTACATGAGAAAAAATGTTGAGAACAATCAGAATATAAAAATCAATCATTTAAAAAGAGAAAAAAGAAAAATCTAGTAGTACTAAGTGCATGTACTATTAATACTAATTCATTTATACTAGAAATATTCTACCAGTATATAGGGTAAAAAAGTATTCAGTTCTCCAAAGTTTAGATAATTTTTAGTATATATGGGAGAATATAGCCAGAAAGAGATGGACATGATTGGAGGCCCTAGATATCACTCAGATATATTCTCCCATATATCCTGTCAGGGACATATATAATAAATTTATAATTACAAATTCTTTTCATTTGTATTTTTATAACCAAAAATATAGAAATAAACTAAAGTATGAATATAAATTTTCTTTATTAATTCCCCAAAAGTGCCTCACATAGTCTGTTTTATTTGCTTGTTTATGTTTATTTACCATGGAAATTTTTCCATTTTTGCAATTTCAATACATTGAGAATAAGAAAATTCTGATTTTTTAAATTTGATTAAATATAATAACTTTTAAAGATATTCCTTTCCTATACTTTAATTTTAGTTGATTTGATTACACAATTTTCCAGTCGCATGTACTTCATTTTATCAGAAAATAAAGGATTTTTTTTTTTTCCTCATCAAGAGTTTTCATGGCCTTAAAGTCGGTATAAGGGAAATGTTTTTGGGCCCTTCATGCTTTGGGTTCGAAATCCTGACAGAGACATTGGAATCTTTCAAATGTGAGAGAGGCTTATTCCATCTAAGCTAACGGAACATCGGTTTTGTTTACTCATGCCCGTTTCTGCACCGTTAAGCTGGAAAGTGGTCAATTGACTATGTTGGTGCAACTTAAAGAACCCAACAAAAATAAACATCAGTTTGCGTAATTTTACAAATGTTAATTTTGAAATGCTCAAGCAGCTATCAGGCATGATTTTACAAATTAAAAGTTAAGAAACAATATAACTATGGAGATAAGTTGATGGTAATACAGGAATATGAATTGAGGGTGCCTTGTAACCAACCAAAATTCAAGAAATTTATTGCATTATTGTAAATATACATGTATGCATTAGAGAAATTATAGACAGCTGAAAAACTATTACAAAAAAGTGATAATGACTTTATGAGTGGCCATTGCTATTTATTATATCAAACATGCACTGCTTCCAACATATTGTGTTAGCCTTACAGGTAAACTGAAAACAGTTTGATATTTTATACCTGCTGCATGATCAAATAAAATTTTAAGGTCCAGAACAAACAGTTATATTGTAAAATTGAGGTAAAAATCTCATTTTACTTTTCCAGAATCATTTGTTTCTTGTACAGTCCATTAACTCTCTACCATTAGCTTACAATTTCTGAGATAAAAAAGATATTTTATTGGTAGCTCATTGCTTAACCTGATTGGTTAAAATATGTGTTGTGAGAATGGCAGTTTTTCCTTCATTATGTTTCTGATCAATACTAGAGTGGGGACATCTCTGTCAGTATGATGACAAATCACAGATAGGTCTGATTAGATTATAGCAACAATTGACCAGTACACAGACAAGTCCTCAGTACCTCCCTTTCTGATGGTACACTAGAAAATGTATGGATTTGTTTATTTGTAAATTACAGCATTCTTAATTTACCTATACATTACTGAATTTTGAATATTGATAAACGGTTGAATCTGTCTGGTATATTAATGAACAGTTAAATCTGTATGGATTTAAAATTTGCTTATTGTTATTATATAAGGATTTTCCACAGTATTAAGGATTTGATCATCTATGTAATAGACTATAGTAGTGTAAGCAGGCTTTAATCATCTCTTTCGAAGCGTGAGCAGGCTTTGAGTACCTCTATAATAATGTGAGCTGGCTTTGATCACCTCTATAATAATGTGAGCAGGCTTTGAATACCTCTATAATAGTGGGAGCAGGCTTTGATCACCTCTATAATAGTGGGAGCAGGCTTTGATCACCTCTATAATAGTGGGAGCAGGCTTTGATAACCTCTATAATAGTGGGAGCAGGCTTTGATAACCTCTATAATAGTGGGAGCAGGCTTTGATCACCTCTATAGGCTATACATTACTGTTACAACACTTAGCTGCTCAATGAGTCTTTTGCGCAGATTATATGGGTAAATTTTCTATATAAGTTTTATATACAGTTATAACTATTAGAATAATAGTGTTAGTGATTGAACAACAGTTGATAGTTCACACTGAGTTCATGCTGTTTATTACTGAAATTCATTCAGTCCGCTCTAATTCATGTACATTTTTCTAACAGTAGGACATGTTCTGAATGACCAGTCTAAATATACTGTAGGTCAGTAATGATCAGCTGGTCAGTTGGGTGAAATTTATATGTTTTTACATGGGTATTTGCCTAAAGCTCAGATTCTTTACACTCCCAAGCACCGTTTTTCTATAGGAAAAAAACAATTAAAATGATGATAAATTCAGGGTTTTCTGACATTTTAAACTTTTAAGCATGTTTTAGAAAGTTAGTGAAAATTATCAGTGTAAATCAAGATTATATCTACAGGTACAATTGTATCCTAACAATTTGTGCATAATATACTGGTGTAACGTTTTAGGTAACATGAAAAAAGGACATGATATTCATTAAAATGAAAACAACTCTAATTGTTCTTTCATTCATCTAACAGACAAAAAAAACAGCAAAAAAAACATCAGAATTTATGTAGTGTTTTTTGCCCAGTTTTGAATTCGAACAGTTGCTTCAAAATTTCAGAAAATTTCATTTCAATTTTAAGCTACCAGACTAGTAAAATGTCAGTGGTAAGGGTAATATACTTCCAGCATAATGTTAAATTCACTCTGCTGAATCTGTACAATGAATTTATTTGATTCCATTTGGCCACTGACTTAACTTGCTTTTTTATTATATAACGGATTGAAAAATCATTGAATATAACCAGTTCAACTGTTTGCAATACTACATGAATTAAATATACAAATTAATAGTAATGTTGACATAGATAATGTTATATTGAACATGTGACAAAAAATCCTATAGAAAATGGTTAAGGTTTATGAGTAATTCAGTAATACTTTTGATATTCAAAATGATAAGACATCTTTACAGATAACTGTTCAAGATCTACCTAAGTTGGGCTAGCACTTGTTAAAGCTCACAAGGTTAAACTTTGCTGCTACTGTACTTGTATGTCATGGAGCCACACACAGTCCATGGTGGAGGGCGTCTGTGGCAGGATGATTACGGTTGTTGACTTCTGTTGACATGTAACCACTTGCCCCTCACGGCTGTGAGTCTGAATCCAACACAGGGATATTGATTCTTTAATGTGAGGTAGCTTAGAAAATCAGCTACATAATGGAACATTAGTGGTTCTACTTGGGTGCCCATTCATGCCTGAAATAATGTACAGAAGGGCACCTGAGGTTTTCCTCCACCAGTAAAGTTGGAATGTCGTCATATGACGACAACAACAACAAAAAGTTTGTGGTAAAGTTGTTATGTTAAAGTTTGTTTTAGAATACTATTGTATAAAATAGCAAACATTTTGACATTGTAGAACTATTACTAATGTTGATGAGATAATACTGTATAGAGAAAATTGTAGACACAGGTGGTAACACTGATAGAGCTATAGACAGTATTATAATCATTGTTGTATACATCAAA